AAGATCATTAGTATTTCCGTTGAAGTGTAGAAGTCGAGGCAACTTACGGTCATGACATCAAACATGATAGGGTTGACCAAAGTGGTCATACCCACCCCAATGGCCCACCCAGTGATCCCGAATCCATTGCCTTGGGCTCGTAAATCACTTGGGAAGATCTCAGTGGGAACCAAGAAAGCAACCGTGCCCCAGGTGGCAGCATAACTTGTTCCACTTTAGTATATATGAAAATAGTGTCGCAATTTCATGCCACTTACCCCAAATTGAACAAAAAGAGCATAGTCACAGCACCAGGCGCATATTGAGACGCCTTTTCGGGATTATGCAGCGAGCCTTCATAAACAGCTCCAGCCTATGAAGTTGTCAGGGGAAAGGTACTTCGATCCGCGGAAGAAAAAACTCACAATAAGATTGACTGCAAACAAAACAGCCGCTCCGCCCATCAAACACGCCCGTCGGCCCAATCGGTCAATGATTAGAGCACTGATAATGGTACCTATGATTCCAATTGTGTTAATTCCTCCAGCAAGACCGTTTTGCTTTATATCACTATAACCTGCCTGAGCAAGCAGTGTCGGCGAATAGGCAGTAACAGCCTATAATCACTATTAGCACCCCAATGTCTAATGGACTGGTAAGCGCCGTAACTCACTGTAATACCTGTCCAGGACGCCATAATTTGAAGCCAAACACACAACCAAGCTCGTCGACCGAGATTCAGTCCTGGCTTTCCACCCTTTCCAAATAAGATCTTGACAAACTCAATGGGGGAGCTGGGCTTGCTTCCTTTCGCAGTGACTATAATCTCAAGGTATTCTCGGTCGATATCGTCCTGGGAGGCCCGGTCTTTGCGAATACGGTTCAAAAGGTCTCGAGCTTCATCGTTCCGCCCTACCGAGGCCAGATAGCGGGGGCTATCAGGCAACATTTTGATGAAGGCAGCTAGAAGGAGTGCCGGGAAACACTGGAAAGCGAGAAGGAAGCGCCATCGTACGTCGGAGTAACCGTTATCGACGAAAGCTAGGCCGAAGGAGATCCAGTATGCGACGGAGATTCCTAGATCTTGAAAATGATGCATGTCAGAAAGGGCCCCCACAGTGGATATCGCAAATTCAAGACTTACAATTCGCAATGAAGACATAACCCAAAAAGCCACCTCGATGATTCGCGGAAGAGGTCTCTGAGACTAACACTGGGGTAATCCCAGTCAAGGCTGTGAAATAACAAATTAGAATCGCAGCTCCTTCCAAGCCCCAAGCTGAGGCAAGACTACCAAGGACGCTTACCCCCGGTCCCTATCCCTGTAATCACCCTAGCACACAGCATGAAGTCCGAATTCTGCGCGCCCGCCTGCAGGGCGCCACCAACCAGCGCAAATAATGAACCAGCGAGTAGGCCATTGATCCGACCAACTCGATCTGCAAGCCAGCCGCCAGCGAAACAACCGAAGATCGCACCCAGGTAATAGATGCTGACAATTCCACCCTGGTGAGTGGTGTCGGTCACTGTCCCATCAGCTTTACCAATGCCAACCTCTGTCACATATTTCGGCGAGCTGTTGACGCCACCCATCACACCTTGGTCATATCCCTCAAAGAAGATGGAGATCAGCGAAAATATTTGGATGGCGACATTCAGCTGACGTGGCGAAAGCCGCTTCCATAGTGTAGTATAGCCCATGATAGATGACTTCCCCAGATCCCAATAACGCGAAAAAGAAGCAATCTCAAGTAAACCTTGTTATAGGGCCCGCCCCCGGCATTTGGTGAAGAATCTGTGAAAGACTGGGGACGCGATGGAGCTGTTTATGCGGGGGGCACACGCCCGCATATCTCAAGCGCGTAGGCATTTATCCGTTGGAATTCCTAATAGGCGTTTTGCCGGTCATCCCTTCTGGCCTTGCTGCTAATCCATATTAACTACGGAGTACGGAGTAGATCTATCAGAACTTATCGAGAATGCCGAACCGAATTTTCAGTCTCCACCATTCACCGGTTGGTTCGCTATGGGTTCCGGCAGTTATGACCGGGTCTGATAAATAGGATAAATAGGGTCTTGATCCTCAAGATGTTTCCTTTTTATTTTACATTGTTTCCTAATAGTTCTGCGTTTTGTTGTCTACAATTTGGAAGCAAACATGGCGTCCAACTCCGTTAATGGCACTACCAGCCATAGTTTAGACATCACAGTTTTGGGCTTGAATAGCGGAACTTCCATGGTAGGTGACTGTCTGTTAACTTGAGAAACACCAGACTCATCAGCTATAGGATGGCATTGACTGCGCTCTTTGCCGATTCCGCCAGGAGACCCCCGAATCGCCTATGCACTTCGAACTACTCAAGGCAAGTACACGACAGGAATGCTCCACAAGGTACGACATACTGACCAATGACGCAGTATGGTGAAATTCCACTTGAGCCGGTGATCAAGAAGCGAGTGATGAACATGATCCTGCATAACAAGACCTCCCCTTCGGAGTTGTCTGAAGTAAACGTGATCCTGGGCGAGACCTTCGCCTCAGCCGTGCACCAGTTCTGTAAGGATTACAATGTGGATATCAAATCGATTGATGTCCTCGGATCCCATGGGCAAACCATTTGGCTACTCTCCATGCCAGAGGCTGGCGAGACCCGCAGCGCTCTGACCATGGCCGAGGGCACATTCCTCGCCTCACGCACGGGCATTACCTCAGTCACCGACTTCCGGGTCAGTGATCAGGCCGCTGGACGTCAGGGAGCACCCCTCATTGCCTTCTTCGACGCGCTGGTGCTGCACCACCCGACAAAGCTGCGTGCGTGTCAGAACATCGGCGGCATCGCAAATGTCTGCTTTGTCCTCCCGGACAGCCACGGCGGTGTTGACGCCTGCTACGATTTTGACACCGGTCCAGGAAACGTGTTCATCGATGCCGTCGTACGCCACTACACGAACGGCAAGCGCGAGTACGACCAGGATGGCGAGATGGGAGCCCGCGGTACCGTCGATCAGGGACTTGTGGACGACTTCTTGACACATCCCTACTTCGCGTTGGAACCCCCTAAGACAACGGGCCGTGAAGTTTTCCGTGACACTCTCGCCCACGAATTTATTGTCAAGGCCGAAGCCAAGGGTCTTAAACCTGACGATGTCGTCGCCAGCATCACTCGTGTTACCGCTCAGGCCATCGTGGACCATTACCGTCGCTACGCCCCCAAGGACCTTGAGATTGCCGAGATATTCATGTGTGGCGGTGGCGCGTACAACCCTAACATCACCACCTTTATCCAGGAAAACTACCCCAACACCCGCATTATGATGCTCGATGAAGCTGGCATCCCTGGTGGCGCTAAGGAGGCCATTACTTTCGCTTGGCAGGGCATGGAGGCTGTAGTCGGCCGCTCTATTCCTGTCCCCACTCGTGTCGAGACTCGCCAAGAGTACGTCCTTGGTAAGGTGTCTCCGGGTAAGAACTACCGAAACGTCTTGCGTCAGGGCATGTTGTTTGGCGCTGGTCGTGATCATCTCCCCCCGGTAAATGAGCTGGTTAACTACATTGATGGCAAGGCTTTCGACAACAAATGGTAAATACGGCTCGCGGACCTTTTTATGAAGTCCTTTGCATAAGGTTTTGGGATGCATTTACATACTTTCGGGTGCTTTTTTAACTTTTGGCGCAACCTTATAATGATAACATATATATTTGGGACTGGTGAACGCATTGTTGTTCCTGGTTATTTTTTCAACATGTTTTGGTGAATCTCTCAAGAACTAAAAACGAAAATAGACTCAAACGACAGGATTGATGTTAATGTATGTGGTGCGTTCTAAGTATGGGAACCACCCTGACGATCCACTACACTAATATCACTAGCTTGACGACCCAGTTTCCATTTAGCCGTCTGGATTCGATACAGCAAATATCCATTCAGCCATTTTAGCAGTAATGGCACGTGTCGAGAAAAATCCAGAGCTGTCTATTCACATTGGCAGTCGTTCGGCCGAGCTTTTGCCGCGTCTATATGGTCGTCTGTAGCTGCAGTGGGCTTTTGGTTCCTTGCTCTTGCTCCGTGGTCGTGTGGGGATAGCTTTCTCCATTATCCCTTGTCCAGTCGGATCTAGACTGCGGGCTAAGCTTTTCCTTTGGCTCAGAGAGGTTAGTCTCGATGCATACATAGGTGGAGAGCTCTTAATGGAACCTTGAGAAAGAAAATTAAGCTTACAAAGTATACCTAGAGAAGACAAGCTTTATTAAAAACACTAGCACAGCATATTTATATTCGACCACGAGAAGCCATGGAATAGATAGAAGGACCATGTGTTATAATTCGGGCACCACTAATCGAGACAAGGGTATATCGGAATAAAATGGCCAGTCAAGAAAATATAGTTTTTAATGACGATTAACTCGAGGATATAGGGATATAACCCCACGGACATGAAACTGAATCACCACAAAATTGCTAACCTAGTTGGTGAAAAGGTTGTTGGAGCACATAATGGGGTTGCTGGTCACAGCATTGGTTGTAGTCGGAGCGGTGGCTGAGGTGGTTACCGCGTTAGCTGCCTGGGCGCTGGCGGGATTAAGATGGTATCGCTCCGAAGTGCGCATACACGCAGCAAAGGAGGACTCGGAAGCCAGATAGATGCATCATCGTGACGGTCACGATTCAGGAAGAATGTTATAGAGATAGGGTCTAGGATCCTAATAGCTTCTTTGTCCCGGGTTTCTTCGTTGCTTACCGAGGATCGACCATTGTGATCATCCAACTATATGTGCTGAGAGAAGACTTGGAGGCCAGATAGATGCATCATCGTGACGATCACGATTTAGGGACGAAGAAGTATGAAAACGCCTCCTTAGACTTAGCAAGAATCAGTCTCTGCAAGAAGAATACCATACGTTTTCTCTCGACCTGTTCAACTCGCCTGACCAACAGGAACTAGCCTGACAGCTAGTGTTTTTTTACAATTGTTCAATCTCAAAATCATCGAACTCGAACAATTGGAAGGCCGAAGCAGCAATGAAGTCGTTTAGCCTCGCTCTTGTGGCGTACATTCTTCAACATTCCTTCACCAACGCCCAGTACACCGCCAATGTTCCCATCAAAGAAATCAAGGGAAAATGGACTATAAAGGGCAACAGTATTACATGGACCGAGGGTGGTTTCAAAACCTCTATTGATTGTGACAATGAGGAAGGCGACAAGGAGCTTAGTCTGAGTGCGAACAAGAAGTTTGCAGCCTGCTGTCTGCCGGGTCAAAGGCTTGTTGGGGGCCGTGATTCAGCGTTCGACTGTTGTGCCGTAGGCCATGAACTTGCTGGAAGCAAGGAAACTGGTTATCGTTGCTGTCCAACGGGTTGGACATATGACGGCGAGATTTGCAAGGAACAAAAAACATGTCCCAATGGAAAAACTCTTGTTGACGGCAAATGTGTCTGTCCTACAGGCTCTGCTGAAACTAGTGATGGGGTGTGCGAGCCACCGAAGTGCGTCTCGGGTCTTGAGACTGGTAAGCAATGAGTTGTCATGCCAAGTCGCAGAAAGGTTGCTAACTTCATCCTTCCTAACCATCAGGCAAATGTTACAATTTCATCGGAGAGAATGGTTTCCCTCTGGGATTCAACGGTGCCAACTACGTAATAGCCGAAAAAAGCGGGTATCAAATGCCTGGGAAATTCCAGCTCTGCAAAGATGAAGAATGTACACCTGGCGAACAAGTTGACCCTGGTCAGCTTGTCTACATCAAAGACGTCCACGGAGGCCCCGCATCCCAGGGTGGACTAAACCCAAACCGATGGCTCAATAATCTCAAAAATGGAGGTCATATTGGTAAGACAGCCAGAATTGGCGATGCCGGTGAGTTCACTGTCACAAGGTGGCCATGTGGCAGGTATTGTGTGGGAGGATTTGAGTATGGCCTTGCACCGGCTTGTCCGGCGCCGGTGCCTGCGATTACTTTCCTCACTTTAGATAAACAATCCTGCGTTCCTTTCGACTTCGTCGAAGTCCCCTGCGACGTCACGTTAACTTCCAATAACTGTATCTGGAGGAATGGCGAGGACCAGTGCTGCGACAAGATGGATTGTTCTAGGCTCTAATCTTTGGGATTGAAGTTGCCTCGAGCGTGTTCCAGGGGTCGAGGTGGACAAGGGGATGTGTTGAGCAACCGTATCTTCATTACCTATCCTGAATGGTTATTGAAGGAACCGGGCCTTGGTAATAGGCAGATTGGGCCTTTATTTCGGACTGATTCTTTGTTTTATTTATGTTGCTTTGGCGGCTAATAACTTTCATTAAAGCGAACGTATCAAATGGGAAAATATTGCTTCTTCATATAAAGTCAATGTTTCATTAGTATTTGAACCCCGGTACTTCATTACTTCAGAAGGCCCGATCTCCCCCATCATGTGAGAGGGGGTTGAAGCAGCGAAGCGCAAATTTGTCCAAGCCCTTCTCTCAAAGCTGCAGGTCGGTAGCTTGTGTGCTTTCGAAACAGGGGATATTCAACAGCTGCCTCCACTTTACCTCGCTATTATCTGTTTTATATTACGATAGAAGCGCTAAGTTGCGAGCGGGATGGTTGGTGAATTGCCACCAGCTCAGCTCACCAAAACGCCCCCCGCAATTCAAACTGATCGTCGCCGTGCAGGTTCCTGCACTCTCTGCTGCCCTGTTATCCCAAAGTACTACAACATGAGAATACTACCATCTCCGAACACTACCACCTAAGAACACAATCCCCTATAGATCTTATCTTCCGGATAACCGGAATACCCTGTTCTAAACAGCTGTTTAGGATACATCGGCTGCATACGACCTAAGAAAATTAATCAAAGATCGACCCGATTATTGCCCTCCCTTCTAGGGGTTGTACTCGCTCTCCTCGCCATGATGTAACCAATCGTGGCACTTGTCATTTCCAATCTTGGAAGGTGATCAATAAGCATCTCAGGGCCTGTTGGCCCCACCTTCCTTACATACCTAGGTACGTAGTATAATAACCCACGCCCTGGAACATGTTGTTTTTTTCACACAATGTTCAATCTACACCGAATCACATGCCCTCGGGCTTTTATTCTGGCCCTCGCTCTTAGGCCGGTCAATGCTTCACCCATTGCCCATAGCGAGCTCGCTGGCCGTCATGACGGAGGCCCCGCGGTGTGGCCCACTCCTCAAGAGATTACCTTGACTAGCGGAAAGGTGTCGCTCACGGGTGATGTCACTATCGTCACCGAGGATTTCAAGGACTCCGCCACGATCTCCACGGTCAAGGAGGTTGTGGCTGCCGCCGGTGGCAATGCTGTTCTTGCCTCCAAGCCAAGTGGTAAGGGCATGCAGATCTTCGTTGGAACAGAGGCGGAAGCTGGGGTCGCTGTGGCTGCTGCTAAAGCTCTTGCCGGAAACTCTGCGAATGGCCTTGACGCCGACGGCTACGTTTTTGCATGTGGCAATTATGAGCAACAACCAAGCATTGTACTCAATGGTGTAGACACACGCGGTACTTTCTATGCGGCACAGACTCTTCGTCAACTTCTCGACGGTGACCATATCCCCGGTCTCAAGGTGCGCGACTGGCCGCTCATGTCTATCCGTGGCTCAATAGAGGGTTTCTACGGTGTCCCCTGGTCTCATGAGGCACGGCTTGACCAGTTTGCTTTCTACGGGAAGCATAAGATGAACACCTATGTGTACACGCCCAAGGATGATCCACTTCTCCGAGCCAAATGGCGCACTCCTTATAGTGGAGACGAGCTTAGCCAGCTTAAGGAGCTTGTTGAGACTGCAAATACCAACCATGTCGACTTCACCTATGCTCTTTCTCCCGGCCTAGACATATGCTACTCGTCCGACGAGGACTTCGACGCTACCGTGGAGAAGTTTAACCAGCTGCGCGACTTTGGTGTCAGCAACTTCTACATTGCTCTTGATGATATCCCCCTCGAATTCCATTGCGATGCGGACAAGAAGAAGTGGCCCGAAACAGAGAACGATGAATGGATCGCCGATGCCCAGGCCTTCTACCTGAACCGTGTGCAGACTGAGTATATCGAGCCAAACAACCTCAAAGACCTCGAGACTGTCCCGACCAACTACTCTGGCAGCGCAGCGTCCCCGTACAAGACAGAATTCGGCACCAAGCTAAACAGGAAGATCCGTGTTCAATGGACCGGCGAAGGAGTCTTCAGCGACGAGATCACAGTCGACAGCGTCGTGACAGCCGACTCGAGCTACGCCACCGAAAGCCTGTTCCTATGGGACAACTTCCCAGTCAACGACGCCAACCGTGACCGCCTATTCCTAAATCCGCTCACCAAGCGTGCGGCCGAACTGTATAAGCATCTTCTGGGCTTCACCTCGAACCCTATGAATCAACCGTACGCCTCTATGGCCGCGCTCGCCAACTACGCCGACTATACGTGGAACGGCCCATCGTATGACGCCACCGAGTCCACGGATGCAAGTCTATGGGAGCTGTCGGGTACTGACACGACCGTCCACAATGCACTCATCGCGTTCACCGACCTCAACCAGAACTGGCCGTACCAAATTCCCCAGGTCACTGCGCCCCAGCTTACCAAGGACATTGCGGCTTTCTGGGCTTCTCGCAAAGCCGGCACCAGCGACGGAACTAAGGCGTTGAAAGATCGCCTCGCACTAATAATCACTATTCCCGACGTTCTCCCCGAAATGGCCATGAAGGCCTTCGCTACGGACGTGGCACCCTGGTCGACTGTTGCTATGCAGTGGGCAAGCGCTTGCAAGCACTTGATTGCTATGCTCGAGGCAATCGACGGCAAGGATCAGGGTACGGCAGATGCGGAGTTCAGCGCTGCCAAGGAGTGGGTTGAGAAGACGAAGGCTAAGACTGTCGACGACCGTAACGCCGAGGGTGAGGACCTTCCTAAGTCGATCGTCCCGACTACCGGTGATGGGGCCTTTGACAAGTTCCTCACTGATGCCACGGCTATTTACAATGGTAAATAGATGAGGGTATGAATCTGGTAGTTTAAGTCGGATAGACAGATATAGTGCACGCCGTGTACACGAGCTGCAAATACTGGTATGCAGAACTAGTCAGTTTTTCAGGAATAATGGCACTCAAACATATTTAATGCCATATTTGAGCATAGAGGTAGTAAATCTAAGAATCCGCGGATCAATAATGTCAAGACCGGAGGTTGATAGCGAGGAGCTACCTGTAATTTGCTAGATATAAAGAAATAGAACGAAACAAAGCCGATAGAAGAAACTACATGCAATGCACACACTGATCAAGCTTTAGTAGTCTGATCCCACAGACTGCGCACGGCAACACCATCCACCCACTTCCCTCCAGTCTCATCCTTCTGCACAACGAACCGAAGAGTCCGTTTCTCGCCAGGAAGTAAAGAGAACGAGTTATCCTCAAAGTACCCCACCACAGCAGCGGGGTAGTCAAGCCATGTATACAGCGAGACAGCTCTCAGAGCTTCGACGGTAAACGTGCCAGCCTGTGCATCATAAGACAGCTTGAGTTCCGGGTCTTTCAGTGCAAGATCTTTAGGAAAGACAGGCGTAAATTGGTTCCGGTGGCTGAAGGTAGTCTCGTTTTCGGCGTTCGGGAGACGTCCCTGAGCAGTGAGATCGATGACCAGGACGGCATCCTCCATATCAGGCAGGGGGAGTTTTGCCACGTTGGTTTCATAGATATTGGTAGTATTGAGTGCTGCGACGGAGAACTGTTTGGTCAAGGGAGTACCCGCGTTACCGGGGATCGGTTGGCCGGACAAGTCTGTCCAAGTAAGGTCCACAGTTCCATGGGCAGTCTCCCAGAGATCCGATGTCACATAGATAGACAAACCGCCAGTTGAATAGTTCCAGAATGGCGAGACGATGACTGGTTGGAATATGTCGCGGGCGACGTAGTGGAGGACTTTCCATCGGCCGTCATACTCAATGCCAGCCCATGTCGGAGCCTGCCAGATGTCTTCGAGTTGCCAATACAGCGAGCCGAGCTGGCGCTCTGGCATCCCGCTTCCGCGGCGATAGAACTGAATTTCGGACTTGTACATGTCCGCTTGGAAAAGCTGGGTCGCGTGGCACCAGGCGCTGAAGTTGGCGACGGAGTCTTGCTTATTGGGGGTTGGGTAGTATCTCTCGACTGCTAGGGTCATTTCGGCCATGCCGATAGATGAGTTCTTGTAGTTGTGGGTGTCTGGGCTGTTTGCTGGGTAGTGGTGATTTCGGAGCATGATGGTGCTGCTGTTGAAGTGGAGGTCTTCATCGTCCACAGCTTGCTGCCACGTTTGTAGGCTCGGCATGCTGTGGTAGCCAAATTCGTTGGCGAAGCGGCCGACGGGGTAGCCGGCGAAGTCAAACGCCTCACTACTGTCATAGTTGTAGTAGTCGGTATCACCGTAGTAATTTCCTTTTTCCTCTGACCCATTATCGTACCGCTCCGCCATAGGAACTGGAGCAGACAGATCAACTCCCAGGAAGCCGTTGTTGGTGCTACTAGGCATGTATGAAATCGACCGCGAGTTCTCGTAGACCAACGGAAGGATCAGAGAGATAAACAGATGTTCATAATCGCCAACCAAGCGGGGGTATGACGAAGGATCATGTTGCTTAGCGATTGGAAGCTCCAAACTTTCAATCTCATTTCCGCCGGCCCACAAAGCCAAGGACGGATGATGATTGACCCTTCTCACATTGTAGACAACCTCAGCAGCAACATTATCAAGGAACGGTTGGTCGGTGGGATACAGAGCATCACTGAATTGGAACTCGCTCCACAACAATATTCCGCGCTCGTCGGCGAGATCGTAAATGAAGTCCGGAAGGGAAGTGCTCGAAGCCCAGACTCGGAGCATATTCTGATTTCCAGCGACGACTGCATCGAAGAGTCGCTGCATCTTGGCCTCGGTGACTCGTGGCCAGAAAGCATCCGGTGGAATGAGATTCGAGCCCTTGGCGTAGAATTCACGGCCATTCACCTCGAAATGCCAATTCGCGCCGGGTGCGATACCCTGAGCCAACTGCTCGTCGGTGATATTGGACCGGTTCAGAAATATGGTACGGAAGCCAGTGCGTTTGGTTACGCTGGCGAGCTTCTGGTCTTCATTCCTGATTGTGACTGTGACATTGTACATGTTTTGCTTCCCAATTCCCGCGGGCCACCAAAGGCTGGGTCCGTCAACTATAGTAGTACCGGTAATAGTTTGTCCAGATGCAACAACATTATCGAGCGATCCGGACTTCAATACTTTGCCCGACTCGAGGTCCTTGATCTCGATAAACATAGATAGCTGTCTAGGTTGGGAGCCGAGATAGTCAATACTTGCATTCACAACCCACGGCTGACTCTGATCGGGGGCAAGGTGATTGATCTGTCCCTTTCTATATATGTCAAAGCCTGTATTTAGAACATATATATCTTCCTCGCCATCGGACTGCACCAGGTATATGTTCTGCCATGGCCCAGCAGGCGAGAACGCTGGGCCCCAATCCCAGCCAAAGTCGGACTGCTCTTTCCGAATATACCAGCGGTTTGGGAATTCAAAGGTCCCTTGAACACCGCTAGGCCATTCTATAGCATCGTCAGACATGGTGTGTTATCCGTTTGTGGAACACTTACTTTGTGAATTTGGATCAGCAGCGATTGCATTCGCAATCTTGATGGCACTTCCAAACTCGAGAGAAACGGTTGGGGAGCTGTTGCAATGTTTCAGCGCATTGGAGATATCGAAAGTGTACTGCCGGAACTGATTATCTGTGGTTCCTATAAATTGACCGCAGAACTCGATCGTTGTAAAGGTGTCAAGGCCGTTAAACACAAGCCAGGAGGACTTGGAGTCGCTTAATCTGTGAAGAGTCAGTAGGAATCCCGAATTGAGACAGCGAAGAACACAAACAAGCCATCGACTGGTTTACTTGTATACGTCCAATTGTTGTCTGCGATCCAACGCAAGTCGAAGTCATTCAAACCATAGTAGCTTTGACGTGATCCGAGTTAGTAAAGAGCAATTTCAGGAGAAAAGAGGGTTCAGCTAACGGTTCATCTGTTTTTGGGTCAAATCAGTCGACACTTTGGACTAGGAAAAACTCACCAATAACGTTCGCAGCAAGAAGATCCAGATGCGCTTGCGAAGGAACATGGCCAGGGACGCTAATATTCAGCGCCTTGCTGCTGACAGTCCACCCATCACCACTCAGATCCAAGACATTCTGCCCAAGGGTCGTTGGGAGCATTGATGGAAATACCGCTAGCACAAGCTGATTCCAAAGATACATAGCGTCAAAAGCAAACTATGTTGAGATGTTTCTGCAAGATCGAAGGGCTTGGTATAGTAAGTACGTCTGATTCATCCTTTCATCCTCAGGCACTGGCAGGATATCGGACTGGAAATGAGCAGGTGACTTACTCAAAAGTACCACGCTAACGTATGATGTTCATTCCGGTTGAGCAGATTGATGCAACACAGGGACATGCATTGTAGTCCGGGCTCTTGAAGCGGGGGTATCTCAGCAGACACCCCCTCGCGTGGGGGAGAAAGCAACGGTAGCAACGCTAATGTGCGAATTGCGGTAATCCCGGATAAATTAGCAAAACGCAATTCTAGACTCAAAGGCGGGATATAGCGATGAACTGCGGTATTGGAGCTATACGGAAATTGAGAGAAGCCATAGACGGCCTAAGGCTTACTTTCTTTCGGCGTCGGTGTGTGCATCTGACCAGTCATACAAGAATAGTCGCTTATGCCTCTATCCTTGACCTTATGGGGCTTTAATGACTTGATATATTTAGTCTAAGAGGTTATATGTAAGAACCATGCTTTTAGATGTCCTTATTAGATCTCTTTTGATGTATACGGTAAAAGGCATAAACCGAACAGAGGACTCTTCTGTTCTTCTATGCTATTGAAGATCCTATATTTGTTGAGCCACCATGTCTTCATTTCTCTCCAGGGCTCCTTCTCTCTCTCAGTCAACAGCTCGATCCAATTGTGTACTCTGCATATGCTTGTATATATTTGTATAATTATCTAGTTATCCGCTGTGTCAAGTTCCTGCGCATCAGCGATACATCACTCTTTGAGAACCCAAGTCCATCAATGAGATAGCCCTCAACGCCATTTTTCCAGGAGTTCTCAAATGCTACCAGAAAGGCTGCCATAGAAGTCGCTCGAACGCCACACAGTTCGAGCATACCCAGCGCCTCGGGGCTCAACTGGTTGATATCGACTCCACCAGCTCCCAAATTCATAGAGAATGCCTCCATAAGGCTCTCCCGGGTGCTTTCCAATCCGACTCGAGTGAGGATGTAATCGTTGATAATCTCGTGATGCGGTCGATTGATCAGGAGGAGGACGATAGCTGAAAAGACACCAGTGCGGTCTTTACCGGCTGTTATGGGATTTAGGATTAGCACCCATCGAGTATGGACGGAGGGTCTGCACGCGACTATGCGAACATAAACATGGGAGCAAGGTGATACATGTGGAACGTACCGGAGCAATGGACGATGAATGGGTCACGAGGTTTATCTCTGATATGCTTGAATATCTCGACGAAAGATGGGGTAGCCGCTTCGAGGATCCCCAAGTACATCTTCACGAACCCTACAGCACCCTTATCTTCACCCGCGAAATCGCTGAGATTTAAGGTGGCCGGTGGACCTCCGTTTGGTAGCCATACCGTCTCGACTCCTGTGATAGAAGGCGAAGGGGCATTTTGCCGCTCCCCTTCATTCCGGAGGTCGAAGATTTTGGTGATTCCCAATTCGGTTGCGATGGTGGATTTCCCGGTACCCCAGATGTCGGACAAGGTTCCGGACCGATACACGAATCCTGGGCGTACCTGGTTGCCATCATGGCTCAGATCGCGAAAGTTGGAGACACCTTGTATAGGGATAAATGGTGGCAGGGATGTGATCCTGGTTACGACTGCCTGGGGAATGGGGGTTCTGATATCGGTATTTAATACCTCACGGATCCGATCGGCTTCTTGCATTATTCAATATAGAGGATTAAAGACAGAAATCAAAAAGCGGAGATATAAAGAAAGCAAGTTCAACTATGTCATTGTATCAATCAAATAGTAGAGCCGAACTAGTGCAGGCACCGACGTCATCCTAGCCGACGGCCTCATTTTCCAGGAACACTTCATAGCGAATACATTATGCCACCTTGTGATGTATTTCCAATGGTCTCTTTTTCATCCTGTTTTAGGTAGTCAGTTCAGATGTCTTCTCAGATATCTTTCTAATATATTTCGTCTCCTTATTGGCGGTTTTTGTTGAACTCTTCTCTATAACCCATGTTATACAGACTGTGCTTGTTGACTTCATACTCATACAAATATTAGAAGACAATGAGACAGGAAGGCCATTTCAGAAACAAAATAGCAGACGAATAGCAAACAGTAGATATTTATATGGCCCTTGGTGTAACTTCAAGTCTCCATCAATCAACTCCATCTCCATATTCTCAAATCAACTTGTCAATCCAACTATGACATCCCTAAACCTCGACACTCGAATCGCAGACTTACCCCGGGACCAAGAGTGGCGCGTCGGCGCAGCAATCTTCCGGTACCAGGAGAACGCGCACTACACCGTCCTACTTCTAAAGCGTGCAACCGGCTCGTACACAACTGGATGGTGGAATACTCCAACGGGCCCAGTTCTAAACACTGATGAGACCATCTCCGATGCCATGAGGCGCATCGTCCTCGGCCAGACTGCAATTGGACTCCAGGGCTACCACACCATCGAGCAAGTAGAATCATTGTCGTGGGGATCTGAAGAACAGCCCATAACGAAACTCAACTTTGTGATCCACGACAAATCTGACGACATAGTCGCAATCCAGCTCAGCGAGTTCTTCGAATACCAATGGGTGGAAGAGGAACGTATTGACTCTCTCTCCATCCCTGTGGCAATGCAGGATGTGATACGCGCGGGATTTGAACTACACCGTGAGGGAGCCATATGAGGTGTGTGTGATATTTGCAGCCTCATTATAGAGGAGCAATCAAAACACAAAAAATACAGTCAATTGAGATCTTGCATGTTGTTCACTCTTAGTTATTTCCCCGCATCAGCCAGATACTCGGTTGGCCGCGGAGTGACGTTAAAATGCCGACGCCAACCGCCCTCCTCCCTCCCCAGATTTAACATTCAAAGACCTTGGAATCTCTCACCCTTCTCCCATTGAAAACAATTAAAACTACAATGTTAATAACAACAGAGAGCAAAATGTCTCTAAAGCTCCTGACTCGGAATGGCCTTCGCAGCCAGCCCGTAACCACAGTGCGCATCGTCCCCGCACGGAGGTGGAGTAGCTCCATCTCGCAGCGGCCGGGGTCAGACAGGTGATTGCTTCAAGCGCAATTTTTTTTTTTTTGGAGAGAAACGCTGATGAGATGTTAA